AAACTTTAAAAGTATTAAATATTGATAATATGTCAAAAATATGCACACGCATATTTTTTTATATGAAATATTAACGTGTTGGCAACGTGTCATGTCCTACTTTTTATAAAATTGACGTGTCACTATGTTTGTGTCATGTCATATCCGTGTTTTGTGTTTGTGTCTGTGCTTGTTCACTATACGTGTTGCTCACAGATGGCCCCTGTCCTCTTTACATATCTCTCTAACTTATTCTCTCTCTAACTTCCTCTCTCTCATTTTTTCCATTTCCTTAACATGTCATTCTCTCTCACTCGTACTCTCTAATATCTTATAACATTAAAATAATGATAACTTTTGAAAACTATACATATAAAATGAAAAATAATATTTTATTTTTATAATTAAATAAAAAATTTGTAATTTGATAATTGTAGAGTTGTAAAAGAATCATTAATAAAGGCACCAAACATGTTTTTAAAATCAGAAAATTAAAGTAGTTWCTAGATTTTTTTTTTTTATTAAAAGAAAACCCAAAAGTAATAAAAAACAAAAAGCTTTCTAAAGGTTGGGGCCTAAATGTTTGCAATCCTCACATAGGAATCAATTTCTAATGGAGTGCCTCTAGAAGATTTTGGGCACGGACATCCGGATCCTAATCTTACGTAAGTTGTTTAAGATTTGATAGTAGGGCATTGCTCTATAGTTTGCTTTTGTCTTGGAAGTAATACTAACAATTTGCGGTTCAACAGGTATGCTAAGGATTTGGTCGACATTTTGTTCAGTGAGGACGCACCTGATTTTGGAGCTGCCAGTGATGGTATTTCATTTAAATACATAAGTTAGATTTGGATGCCCCCAATATTAATTACTGCTTTTTGGATCTTGTGCAAATTTCTAAGCTCGGAAGTGTTAAATATTGATAAATGATTAAATTTACCATAATCTCTAGACTTAAGATTTTTGGTCAGCGGTGATCTAACATGTATACATACGTAAGGTAACTTCTTACAAGTTCTTGGTATTGAAATAACAAACTAACACCCCATACAAACAACCAGCCAATTCGAGAGGGTTGAGAATCTCTTCTGCAATAGTCTCAGACATTCAGCAAAACGAAACCTACCCTACAATGGAGGGCCCACTCACCTATATGCTGCTGCCTCCCTCTCTCCGTACTCATTCTCTAACCAACTTTGGTGGGAAGTTCCCACTCTGCCCCCTCCTACTATAGGTATTAACAACTTGGTGGAAAGTTCCCACTCTACCCCTCCTACTGCTCCTACTGTAGGTATTTACCACCAGAGGCCTTACACATAAAAAATTAAAAAATGCTAACAAAACTATTAATGAAATAATGGTTAAATAGAAGATTAGAAAACACCTTAATTGACTGGAATTAAACAAAAATAAACTTAAAGAAACTATAGGTGTTTATAGCACTGAGAAATACTAACACCAGTTTTACTACCAGATGACAATTTTACTACTAAGATTACTAACTCACTCTACAGCAACACTAGCATTAACACTTCTTTAGCGCTTCTTAAAAACGTTAAAGAAATTCAAAACAAGTATATCTCAGCGGTAATTGACATATATCTTCAACCAAGAGATTATGGGTTCGATCCCTCGTTCCCACATATTGTACTAAAAAAAATAGAAAATGTTGAAGGGAAAAAAATGAAAAAAAGAATAGGAGACATGAGAGACGTCAAAGCTGAACACACAAGAGACACAGGTTCTTCAATTGTTTCTCTTCTTCTTCAAACTTTTCGAACTTCTATGCTTAGTCAAAGACTTGAAGAATTAACATTAAGAATCAAAGAACAAAGAAAAATTGAAGAATCGAAAAAGACCTAAGAATAACTATAGGGGAAGTCTGTCCTTCGTAGAGGTGTGTTGTCATGAATGACACAAATGGCAAGTGCCTTATTGTAGGTGGTCGCCTGGGATATCACCCAGGTGACTAGAATTAAAGTTTCTACGTTCTTTATGGGAATAAAGCATGTTTCTATCTTTAGATGTAGAGACTTATATTTCATGAAAGCTTACGAGGGGAAGATCTTTGTTCTCAAATTCTCTAACAAAAGTGCCCATGTTGGCTTCGTTCTCTTTCTCATTCTTCCATTTTCTTTCCAACCCCTAGATTATTTGATATGGTGGCACAACTAGGTGGTGCCTAGATCTTCAATAAGATAAGACTTGAGAAGCTACTATGATTAGATTTAGATGAATCTTGACGACGAAGGAAATGCATTTAGACCGGTGAGCGACTATTTGACTGACCTGCTATACCATTTGTTGATTTTATGTATTTTTAGTAAATAATTATTGTAAATATTTATTAATTGCTTTTTCCTTTATTTTATTTGTAAGTAGTAGTTTATTGTGTTGTAGCGATGTTTCTCACCTCTACTTAAGGTAACTTAGGGTTTTACTATTGAATAAGGGAAATATTTAATTTTCTCCTAAAATTCTTATTCGATATTTAATTTTCTCCTAAAAATGACTTGGTATTAGAGTAAGAAGTTATGTGTTCGAATCTTGTATTGTCATCTAGGTAGCACAGGCAGGCCCAAAAGGAGGAAATGTCGGTGTCGGACAATGACACACTCTGACACGTGTCAGACACGTCCAAAATTATTTTTTTATAGTTTTATTTTAAAAAAATCCAACACATTAAGGACGCGTCTGGGACATGTTGGAGACATGCCTGGGATACTCAAGTGTCCTTTTTTTCTATTCAATCTTTCTCCTCCCACTCTCAAATTCTCTCTTTTTCTTTCTTTTACCTAGTTTTTTTTTTTATTTCTTTTTCATAAATAGACGACCATCACTTGTGGCCTGCACGTCTTCTTTCTTCTCTAAGAAAAAAAAAACAGCCTAAAATTCATGTACTCCCCCCAAACTTATAGAAGATAGGTGAACAAAGAAGAAGATAAAGAAGAAGGAATAAGAGGTGGTGACGTTGAGAAATGAGGAGAATAGGAGAGGAGGCGAGAAAAATAAGAAGTAGGAGGTCGCAGGTTGTGATGAAGGAGATAAAACTAGTGTTAGATTATTAAGTGGGAAGACGGGAGGGAAAGATGAAAATTAGGTTTTCTTTATTATGATTTATGAGAGAAAAATTAGCGCTCAAGTTCTGAAATGATCGCATTTGAGCCATTAATCCAAAGAAGATTAGCTTTAGTCTTCAAATTAACTCCATTGAGAATCTGGAAAATGTTAGAAGCAGCCACTAGGTCCCATGCCCAAACTATATTGAATGTCTGGAAGAGGGAAAACCAACAGGCAGAGGCATATGGGCAGAAGAAAAACACATGGTTCAAACTTTCACTTTCTTTAGAACACAACAAGCAAATGGAAGGCTGCAAAGCCAAATTAGGTGACTTCTTTTGTAGGACTTCTGCTGTATTAGCGCTCAAGTTAGGAAGAGGAGGGGGCACATTGAGAGAATAAAAAGTTTTTTAATGGGAAAATGGGTTGTGGGTTGGCCCAATTGAAAGGTCTTATATATATATATATATATATATATATATATATAAATATTAATTAAAAATCATATAAAATAATTAACATGCCCCAATGTGTCGTGTCCTACTCTTTTGGAAATTGACGTGTCGCATGTCCGTATCGTGTCATATCCGTGTCACTTGTCTGTGTTCGTGCTTCTTAGATTGTCATTTCCTCCCCATTTAATATTGATTTTCACTTGTTGAGCCTTGTGCAAATTTCCAAGCCCACAAGTGAGTGGAGTGTTAGATATTCTATAAATGATTAAATTACTATGTTAGATATTCTATAAATGATTAAATTACCCTAACCCAAGAGGTTAAAATCCAAACTTTAACCCTAAATCTTGCTGCCGCCAGCCGCCATCACCATCGCCATTTGTTGTCGCTATTTTCGTGCCAACGCCATCATCAGCCATCACCGTCTATTGTGTAATCTTCACGCTGTCGAGGGTTTGCCTGTGGTTACTCTTCATGCCGACGTGTAATCTTTGTTCATCGTCGGATTGCATTCGTGGATCTTGTGGGTTGAAGTTGTAGCTCATCCCTCTTATATGAAACCATCTGGAAAGACCACTACCCCAGAAGAATCAAGTTCTTTCCTTGGGAGTTAAGTCACATGGCCATCAACACGTGTGATAAGCTACAAAGAAGGTTCCCTCGCATTTCTATTTCTCCCCATTGGTGCATTATCTGCAAGGCAAATGCAGAATCACAGCCGCATCTTTTTATCATCAGCCATCGCCGCTGCTTTTCACTGCTGTTACCTAGGGTATGCCACTGCCATTGTTTTGTTGCTGTTTATTGTTTGTCGTTGCTGAACCACTAGCCATGACTGATTTATCTTTGAAGAAAACAAATCAGTTACATGACTTTAAGATTTCTGTAATCCGGTTCAACTCTAGTAGTAATCTGTCGAAATAACTAACAGCGAACTTAATAGAGATAATCTTCTTCGTTGGTCTTATTCAGATGTATATTCGTGGGCAAGGCAAAATTGGATATCTTACTTGAGGTAAAAAAGCACCGGTTGTATAAAATCCTTTATTTTCTATGTGGGACGTTAAAAATTCCATGGTAATGACTTGTTTAGTTAATTCTATAGATAAGGAGATCAGTGCCAACTATATGTGATATTCAACCACAAAGGAATTGTGGGTTAGCGTAAATAAGATATATTCTTATTTGGGAATCAATCACAGGTATTTGAACTGATCCTAAAATTGAGAGAAATTCTACAAGGAAAAGATACAATTTCAAAATATTAACACTGCTAAAGATTTTGCATTGGTGACGAAAGCAATTGCTAATAAGGCATCAAATCATCAAAGTAGGAGGAATGAGAAATTTTGCATATGGTGTGATTATTGTAATAAACCTCGACACACTTATGAAACTTGCTAGAAGCTTCGTGGAAAACCAACTAATTGAAAGAGCAATAAACAAGGTGAGAGGAGTGGTGGCAACGAGTTTTTTTCCATTGCAAATACAGTTGATTCCTACCAGTTCAGTACAAGTTGATCAACTCCTGAACCTTCTAAAAACTAATCCTTTATCTAGTAATCCTAGTGTTTCCTTGGCACAATCAGGTAATTATCCTCCTGCTTTATCATGCCTTTATTCATTTCCGTAGATTATTGATTCCGAAGCTTCTGATCATATGACTAGTTCCTCTCAACTTTTTCAATCTTACTCTCTTGCTTAGTGCTTATTGCAATAAAAAAATTCGAATAGCATATGACAACTTCTCTTCCATGGCAGGAAAATGAACTATTCAATGAACTACTCAATTAGCCTTGCCTCACCTTGCACCTGTGCCTTGAAAACGCTATTGTTGACTGCTTCAATAAGATATCAAACTTGTTGGACATGTGTCAGACACTTACTAAGTGCAATAAACACATGCTAGAAATTAGTGTAGTAAATCTAATACGAGTCCAACACTTGTCGGAGGTGTGTTGAACACATGTTAAGCACAGTAGACACGTGTCATATGCTCACGAACATGTCAATCAATTGTTGGATACACAAACTAAAGTGTTAAAACATTTATTTATTTAGTTAGAAATGTTGGGCATAAAAATAATATGAGATAAATATAATAAATTTTGAGAATGAAAACATTAAACTTGTTTTTTAAGAATACATAAACATTATTGACATGGAAAACGATTAGTTTGGATATTTGTCAAATATTTTAATATAAGGCATTGGTTGTATCATTAGAAATAGTTAACTGGTTTCTTCAACCTTGTGATATATGGCATATTTTGTTACTTCTTAGCATGTTAGTAATTGAAAGTATATAAATAACTATATATAGTTGTAAAATGTATTTTCTAATAAATTGTCCTTGTTGATTGTCTATGTCCTAATTTTTTAGAGAATAACGTGTAGCTACGTCCATTTGTAATTCGTGTCTATGCTTCTTCTCTTGGGCACTTAATTCAAATTTGTATTGTAATTATCCTTCATTTTTTGTCACCAAAAG